CCCTGTGCTTTGCTAAGCTTGTTCTAAGTAGGTGCTTTAGACCACGGAGCCATCTCCCCAGCCCCAAATAACAGTTTTTTTAATGGGGTCTCTGTGTTGCTCAGACTGGTCATGAACTTCTGGGCTCAGGTGACATGCCTCCCTCAGCCTGCAGAGAGCTGGCACCATGTGCTACTGTGGCCAGTCCTCTTAAATGGGATTCTTAATGCCAGATTTTTAGCCATATATTCGTATATACCATGCTGTAATTCATTTTTAGAACTTGGTTATTTTTAGGTACAATTTCATTCCATTTATTCACCTAGCCTATAATATCCCTCTTTTACAAAAAAAAAAAATGCTTATTTTTATGTAAAAGAAAACTGCAGTAATAAGAATAATTAAAAGGAAAAAGTTCAGGTATCTATGACCAATTTTGATTCTCCAAACTAAACTCTAGAAAAAAATTTATAGAAAAGTCACTGTTGGGTGTCTTCACCAATTCTATGACTATCTAGCATCAATGTGGATTGTAATGATTCATAAAGTAATCTTTGCAGAAGATTTAGAGATCAAATGAAAATGATTCTTTTATACCATTAGAAGTAAGTTAACTATAGAACACCTGTATTACTGAATAAAATATTCAGGGTTAGGAATCAAATATTAGAATGAAAATGGCAATTAAGTTAATTAATGAGAGATTCCAGTGCTAAGTAGAGAAGCCTGATCTTGGAGACTAAGAAGCCCTAGCTTGAGGAGCATTACCTAAAATATGCATAATTTCTGATGTGAGCAAGGTAGTTACTGCTGAGTTTTCAAGTGTGACAGCGTGAGTATCAATTTTGCCAATTCCTTTGCTGAAATTTTCCTGTCTAGAATGTTTATAAGCAAGACTGGGAGAAGAGCAAAGCCAAGAAGTTCGACATCAAGGTGGACGCCATCCCCCTGCTGGCAGCCAAGGCCAACAGCAAGAATGCCAGCGATGTGAGTGTGGCCTGCCTGCGGGGTCGAGGGGGCAGCCCCTGCGCGCCTCCTGGAGAGCGGGCTCAGCAAGCACGATGTCTTTGCAGGTGATGTACAAGAGAGACTATGAGAAGAGCAGGGGGAAGATGATTGGGGCCCTCAGCATCAACGATGATCCGAAGATGCTGCATTCTCTGAAGACGGCCAAAAACCAGAGCGATGTGAGTGTCCTGTGCATTGTTCTTACTCTCGGCTGTGGGCTGCACTTGGGTTTAACAGAACCTTGGATTGGTTATTACTCCAGCTAAGGTCTCAGATACCCAATCAATCACGAAAGGCCAGATGACTAGAGAAGATGAAGTTTCTTATTTTTACTGATATCTCTGTATTTTGAGAAGAGAGTGAATTTTGCAAGTTTCCATAATCTTCTCAATGTTGTCAGTTTCATTAGAAGGAGAAATATGCTAGCAATATAATCTCCCTTATCATTTTTCTTATAAATGGCTTTATATTTTAATAGATATAAATATGTGTAGTACATGTGCACATCTGTCTTCATGTCGTGCCCTGACCTGATTAAGGTAGTCTGCAAAGATATATGCAGAAAAATAAAAAGCAAGGAGGGAGAAAATCAATTTAAATACAAATAAGATAGAAAAAACTAAACAAAGTATAAGCTTAAAATCAAAGTATTTTGCCTTAAGAACTTTATAAAATATTGATCTCATTTTGAAGACTATAAAATACTAAAAACAAAACTTCTTACCAAGATTGCTTTTCTAATTCATAAAAAAATTCTCCCTCTCTTCCACATCATTTACAAATATTCTTGTTTTCATTAAACACATTTTGGGATTTCAATATGAGAGCATTAAAAGAAAATATATATATGTAATTATCTTTTCATGTGTCACTGTTATAAAGAAAATAATATAGATTTTAATTATTAAAACCCAGCGTCCAGAGGAGTGGTGAAATTTCTCACCAAGTGCTCAGTTGACTGTTTTAGATCTGTGCCTATATAACTAAGGTCTACCTTGTAAGTGACACCTTATTTGGTGCCAAATGTTTTAAAAATTTATTTTCCTCCAAACACATTCAAGTGGAGCTGACTGTTTTAGGACAGAAACTTGCTTGAATAGCAATGTTGGTGTGCTTTAGTTATTCAGTCTAAGAAATATTAGGATAAGTAACGTAACCATACTTATGGGCAGTATAGGACATGAGCCCGAAGCTTACGCATTCTGACCTCCTACATGGTAGAAAATAGAGGCAGAAAACAATACAAATGTTGTTTCACTGGTTAAACTACAGCAGTGACACGACTGGCTTTTATTCATGAGACTTTTTTTCTTTGTTTAATTTTCTTTTTTCCCTTGACAGAGATTATACAAGGAAAACTATGAGAAGACAAAGGCAAAGAGCATGAATTACTGCGAGACCCCTAAATATCAACTCGACACTCTGCTGAAGAGTTTCAGTGAGGTTTGGAAGGCTTCAGTCACTCTGAGGAGGGAAGGCTTTCCTGTTGCTTGACAGATAATTTGAATTACATATGGTTTCTTTTTCAGGCTAAGTATAAAGATTCATATGTGAAGAATATTTTGGGACATTATGTAGGCAGCTTTGAGGACCCCTATCATACTCACTGCTTGAAAGTTTCTGCTCAAAACAGTGACGTAAGTTTGAAGACAGTTACTTACGCCCCAAAGAGACATTGTCTGGGAGCAATAGCAAGCTTGATCTAATTTTGTTCTTTCTTATTACAGAAAAGTTATAAAGCAGAATATGAAGAAGACAAAGGGAAATGCTACTTCCCTCAGACAATAACACAAGAATATGAAGCAATCAAGAAGCTGGACCAGTGTAAAGATGTAAGCCAGCTTCCCTGGGTTTTTGAGATTGGGTTTAGGATTTTTGTGACATCTAGTGGTAAAGACAGCAGGATTTAAAAGCTAAACTAGCACATAGTAGTTAGCAGATGTTACATTTTAAGTTTTGCTATTTGGGAGAAATCGGGGAACACAAAATTTATATCAGTCATATCAGTTTGAAATATCTTAATTATGAAATAATTTGAAGTTTTAGGAACCTCTGTTTTCATGAGCTTGTATACATAAAATCAGAGTGAAATTAAGACAGGTTTGTGAGAGGCAGGCTTTCACCACTGAACACGCTTATGGGAGGTGCTAGCGTGTTCCAGGCTCTGTCCTTGGTGCTGGGAAGAATAGGGAGCCAGGTGAGCTGCTCTCTTGGAGCTCTTATTGGCATGGATGAGACTGATGATAAACAAAGGAAGGGAGTACGGAAACAAGAAACATAGCCAGTAATGATAATAGACTAAACTGGAGTGAAAATATGAATTAGGATAGGATGATATGAGAGAGACAGGGATTGCTTGGGCACCTTAAATTGGAAAGACAATAAAAGCCTGAGACAAGAGCACCCAATTATGCCAAGAGCAGGAGTAGAGAAACAGGATGAAGAGCCTAAGGGAAGAAGGAAGAACTGAAAGGGTGAGGTGACTGGTGTACACTGGAGGAGGGGAAAGTAGGGCAAGGGAAAAATGGGAGGAGGAAGAAGGGTGGATTATGCGGGGCTGACGAACCAAGGTACAGTGTCAGCTGATGGCACATACAACAGGGCACCATTGTAGGGTTCCAGCACTAGGAAGAATTAGTGGCTAAGATGCAGCAGAACAAAACAGAGGAAGTTCAGGAAAGGATGGAGAAAGAGAGGCGCCTAAGAGCACATCCATCAAGTTTTCTGGACCAAAACATGCTCTATTTTGACTGGAACCTCTTTATACATTAGTGTACATAGGAACAAAAATATAAAGATACACTGTAAAATTTAATTAAAGGATATCTTCTTTCCTAGCATACCTACAAAGTTCATCCGGATAAAACTAAATTCACAGCAGTAACTGATACTCCTGTACTATTGCAAGCTCAGCTCAATAGCAAGCAGCTCAGTGATGTAAGTGTCTTGATTTATGTAAATGTGGGTGGCCTGCATTGTGTGGCTTATTTAAAATGTCAGCATTTACACGCTTAATCTTCATGGACTCTTCTCCCAGCCTGTAGGGTCATTTTTCAGAATTTGCTTAATAAAATGCAAATGAAGCTACTAGATTGATTATAAACTGAAGAAACCTGTTTTAGATAACTGCAACAATAACTTACTGATTTTCAGTAGGTACACTTTAAATAGGATCTGTCACATCCACAGTAAAACTTTGCATCAATTTAAGCAGTGCTAACAAAGGCATCCATTCAGGTAAATAACAAGGCAGATATTCATACTCTTAAGTTTGCTAAAAAAGACTTTACAAAAAGGAAGGAAGCACACTGACAACAAACGCTTTAGGTAGCAAGAAGAGAACCTAGAGAATGATGACACAGAATTGATATACAAAGACACTGAAGAGTGTGACAAGATAGACACTTTAGGTGAACAGTCAAGAAACTTCTCAGGCAGGAATGTTCTAACCATGGCAGAATCACAGGAAGAACCATGAGCTTCTCAGGCATTTACATTCACGTAATCACCTGGGGACTCTGTTGCTTTGTGCATTTTGATGGGGAAGGTCTGGGGGAGCCCTATATTCTCATTCTCTAATAAGCTGCTAGATGCTGCTGCTGTTGCTCTTAGTGACAGATCATGCAGTAAGTAGCAGAGTACTAATGTAGCTAAAGTCCCGAAGCATAGCACCCGTGTCACTTAGAAGTCGTACCAGTTTGTATGTAACTTTCCTAGGATATTTTGTGATCCAACAAAGAACAGCTAGCCACTAGCCAAACTGACTCTGGGAAGTCAGCTGACTGCAGATGAACACCACAATGGACATGGTGTCTAATCACCAACATTTTTCTTGTTGGTCTGCAAGCTCTGTCTTGGGAGTACTTATTGCCCAGCTTTGCTCAGTCACGTGCATTTTGCCTTTGCTCCAAAATTCAGCAGCATCATTCCTCTTTACACTTCCTTCATCATCTTCAATAAATTTTTAAACTCCTATGTTTAATATTATATATATATATACTCTTAAGTTTGAGAGTATGTATATATTTTTTTGTATTTTAGGGAAGAGTCTACAGGGTGTTCAGGGTCTCACTACTAGATTAGACTCGTAGTGATCCTCCTGTTTACAGCCTCCTAAGAGCTGGGATTAAGGGCACGTGCCACCACGCCCAGTCTCAATTGCCGTCTCAGTGCGCTCTGGGAGCAGGGCTGGCATGACAAGCCCAGGGATCGAAACTCCAGCCCCTGAGCCTGCTTACAGGCACTTTAATCTGCTGAGCTATTTGGCTGGCCTTGTATAGATCTTTTAAGCACGTTAATTTTTACTGAAAATTATTATTAGTTTTGTTACTGCTGCGATTACAGAATTCCATATTTCAGGCTATTATTCACCCTCCCCAGACACAGCCCAGTGGTGTTGCTCTGATGCATTTCTTTGTATATAGTGTAAAATCCTCATAGAATATTTACTCAAGGTCTGCTTATACCATAATCTACAGAAGAGTGGTAGAATTTCCTGTGACAGAATTTGAAAGGATTGAATACCTCTTTGAAACTTTTTTTAAAATAAGCACCATTGGGGCCGGGGAGATGGCTCAGTGGAATAAGCACTAGCCTGGCTAAGCTCAGGGCCTGAGTTCAATCCCTGGTTCCACCAAAAAAGTAAAAAATAAAAATTAATTAATTAATTAATTAAAATAAGCACTATTGACTTTGGTATCTACATTGTCCCATATTAATAAAAAGAAATATCCACTCTGACCTGTTTGGATATCTTAGTCAATTTTATGTTGCTGTAACAAAATTCCTAAGACCAAGTAACTTATTAAAAAAAAAATAGAAGTTTATTTAGCTCATGGTTCTGGAGGTGGAGAAGTCCAAAGACAGGATACCAACATCTGGTGAGATTATATTCTCTCTGCATCATTGTGTGGCAGAGGGCATCACATGGCAAGACAGACACTAAGCTAGCCAGAGAGCTGGCTTTTATGTCAGAGTAACTTATTAATCCAGATTGATCAATCTATTAATTAATCCATTCATCAGCACAGAGCCCTGTGACCAATCACTTTCCATGGGTCCCATCTATCACCCACTACTGACCTACAGCTTTAGGGATTAAATTTCCAACACATGCACCTTGAAGGACACAGTCGGCCTATAGCAGTCTCCTCTATTGTTTTTCAGCTGAATTATAAAGCAAAGCATGAAAGTGAGAAGTTCAAGTGCAACGTGCCGGCAGACGCGCCACAATTCATCCAGCACAGAGTCAACGCCTATAACCTGAGTGATGTGGGTATCAGAGCTACTGCAGCCTATTGGGAATGCATGGAAAGAGGAAGTGTTCTGGGTGTTTGTTTAGAAATTCGGAGCTAGGAGCTATGTAAATAAGCAATTATTGAGATTATTATTGATGTGAAAGTAGAGCTTTAAAGAGCCTTATGTGCTTTCTTGACTCTCAGATTTCATTTTCTACGTCTGTTGCTATCAGAAGCATTCTTTCATTTATCCTTCTGCAACTCTCCAGAGCTTCCCAAACTCTCTCCCATGTAAATGTCACATTTAACTTCTCACGTTGTCATTTTGTGCTTTCTGTACACATCAGATAACAGTCTTTACACCACTCCCTGAACATTAGAGTATATAGTACTTGTTTAGTAGTGGGGAGAAAGAAACTGGATGGCAGATCTCTAGTTACACTAAATTTGGTCAAGTGTTTATAGAGATGAAATAAGCCTGTAGTTTTGGATTTTTCTGATTTTTGTGTGTTCACTCAATTAATCTGTGTTCAGTGTTGTGTGGTAATTCCTTTGCTGAAATTTTCCTGTCTAGAACATTTATAAGCAAGACTGGGAGAAGAGCAAAGCCAAGAAGTTCGACATCAAGGTGGACGCCATCCCCCTGCTGGCAGCCAAGGCCAACAGCAAGAATGCCAGCGATGTGAGTGTGGCCTGCCTGCAGGGTCGAAGGGGCAGCCCCTGCGCGCCTCCTGGAGAGCGGGCTCAGCAGGCACAATGTCTTTGCAGGTGATGTACAAGAGAGACTATGAGAAGAGCAGGGGGAAGATGATTGGGGCCCTCAGCATCAACGATGATCCCAAGATGCTGCACTCTCTGAAGACGGCCAAAAACCAGAGTGATGTGAGTGTTCGTCGTGCTTTCAAAACGGCTTCCTGGTAACACACTGGCTGGGAGTGGTACACAAGAGGTTTCATACGCTCTTGTGGGCTCTCTACGCTCACAAAGAACTGTTGACCCGAAGCTAGAAGTGCAATGGTTTGCCGGACCCTTGCACTGCTTACATTTGAGGAAAGCAATTACTGGTACTTAATGTCCATTGTGCTCTAAAAAGTACATAGAGTAATAGTTAATAGAAGATAAATTTTAGCTCTCCAAATCTGTTGGAAAGCACCACTACATGGTTTCATGCTTTTTTCTTATTGAAAAAGAGTGTTTAAAATGATTGTAAAGCTGTCTTTCCTTTGGAACAAAATCAAGAGTTATAAATGCATAATCTGAGTATAGCTGTCAATGATTTTTTTAAAAAAGCTTTAGTAATTAGTATTGGTGTAAGCCTAAGAAAAATACTTCATTGATTACAGTTCCCTTGAAAATATGATAAAAAATTTGGTCTATTTATCTAGAAAAAATTTTCTTTTCATGCTTTTAGCCTAAATTTCAGGAAATTCATGTACTTCTTAAAGAATATCTGTGGACCATCTATCATTTGCTAGTTATCATTTTTATTGTAGAGGGGCAAATATCAACTAGTGCAAACTATTCTGTGTTTATAAGAACTCTTAAGAGTGATAATAGTGTTCAACATAGCTTGCAAATATTAGTTTTTAATGATGGAGCATTTTTATGTCACTTTCTTTGATATTAATTTAATTTTTTTTATTTTGCATTCTACTGTGAGGTAGACAGATCTTCTGTGTCACATCAGTATACAGCACTCACGTACACAACACTCTGTTCCCTGGTGCTTTCCGCCTTCTAAACTCAAGAAGGTTATAGCTGTCGACATCACATATATCTTTATATTTTGTCTTTTATTCTGTAACTGAATGCATTAGGAACACTAGACACAAAATAAATCAGTAAATATTTGTACTTTTGTTTGTTGTTGCCAACTGAAAGAAATAATAATTCTTACATTATATCCAGGCTAGATTTTGAGTTGCAGGCATATAAAATAATTTGTAGTTTTGATTGCATCTTATATTCACTGCTGTCATCTGGCACGAATATGGACTGATTCTGACAAGAGTCAAATTCTGGCAAGTGCAAAGCCCTGAGTTCAATCCCCAATACCCCCCTAAAAAAAAGTAGTTATTTTTTTCAAATGTTCTTGCATACCATAATAAATTGCTGGATTTTATTTTCATAAGCCAGGGTCTAAATTTTACAATTAAATGACAGGTTTATTAAGCAAAAATGGCTACCTACATATCATGAGAAGGAAAATCAAGTGTCTTAAGCTTTAAAAATCAGCTCATTTATGAAAGAAATTGCTACCAAAGATCTATAATGCATGTCTGTTCTCAATAGCTTGGGCACAGGATTATAGGTAGATAGGGTGCTGTCTCAATTTCTCTCATTGCTGGAACAAAATATCCAGCACCCCAGATTAAGGAAAGGAAGAAGCTCACAGTTTGTGGAGTTTCAGTTATATTCGGCTGGTTCCAAGGCAGAGTGACACACAGCAAAGTGGAAAACAGCAAAACAGCAAGAGCACAAAGGGAGGAGCAATGTCAGCAGTGATGGATTTGCTGAGGCAGAGGCAAGCCTCTCTCCCCTCCTCATATTGCATTCAGGCTATTTGTGGGTGTAGCACTCACACCCACAATCCCAGCAGTGGATCATGAATTAATCACAAACTCTAGAAGCCCACCCTAATCGGTCATTTCCGATTTACATTTCCTAATGACTGAACGAGGCTTGGGGGAACAACTAGACACAAACTATAACAGGTGCTATAATTTCTTTAAAGGCATTGGTGAGAATTTTCTCTCCGTTAAGGCAACTGGGGAGCTGATATGGTGAAGCTGGGAATCTGACCTACTTAGCATCCTCTTCTACAGTCCAGAAAAGTGCGATGAAGCTGCCTCTAAGGCCCAGGAGAACATTTGGTTTATGAGGGCGCTGCAGCTAAGGACCAATGCTACTTTAATGGCTCAGTTTCACAAACTTTTCTCCTCCAAGTTCTCGTAACTGCTGTAGTCTGAAGTGTCTTTTAAATTATTACCAAAATGAAACTTGGTATGAAATAAAAACCTTTGCTCTTCTCCATAGGGCTTCTCTACTGTCAGGAATATAACAGGCAGGCTGAAGAATCATAACTATTCATTTAAAATGAAGCCAACTCTATAGTTCTATGTCTGAAGTAGGCATTTTATAAAAGCACAGGTGTGAGATTACTGCTTTGTGATTTTCACTAATTACAAAAGTGCTTCTTGCTGGGGAAACTCTTCAAAGGTTCAGCACAGTAATGGCAGCAAAGCTTGGTACTGGCCCCGGAGAGACAGGAACCATGGCTGCTTTGTGATGTCTGCTGCAACTCTCACAGTTGCCTTTGATTCCAAAAGTATTTGAAAAGATTCTCCCGTGTATGGTTTTCTGGGGGACTGTGATCAATGAGAAAATTTGGGAGCCAAATAACTACTCAGATGTTTGTATCTGTTCCTCCAAATTGTATTGACTGTGCTTCTGTGGAACTCCATTAAGGATTTGTGGTAACGTGGTCATTTCTGATTTACAGCGTGAATATCGTAAAGACTATGAAAAGTCAAAAACTATCTACACAGCACCACTTGATATGGTCCAAGTCACTCAAGCTAAGAAATCTCAGGAGATTGCCAGCGATGTGGACTACCGACACATCTTACACAACTACAGCTACCCACCAGACAGCATCCACATGGATCTCGCCAAGAAGGCGTATGCACTGCAGAGCGATGTGAGTAGCGAGGTTCTCTCTAGCCCCTCTTTTGATGATGCAAACCAGATGGATTTTTAAATGGAGTATTGCTTTTGGCCCTTCCCAAAGCATTTGCGCTGCTCTTTGTGCATAAACAAGTCGGTAATGGGAAGCCACCCCGGTGGCCCTGTAGGCCCACAGCCTTTAGCCTTAGGGACCCTCAGACTTGGCATGGACTCCATTTGTGCTTCCCCTTGGGAACCTTAGCACCCTTGCTGGGATAGCCTTGTTGATAAATTAGAATAAAACAAAAGAATTGTTTTGAGGACCTAAATGCAAGCCAAGCTTTGCACAGCACCAAGCCCTGATAGAATCCTCACTATTACCATACAGCTATCACAATGGCCCCATTCATCATCTTTTTTTTTTTTTTTTTTTTTTTTGCGGAACCGGGGATTGAACTCAGACCCTTGCGCTTGCCAGGGAAGCGCTTATTCCACTGAGCCATCTCCCTGGCCCTTCCATTCATCATTATTAATAGTTTATATATACATTACTATTTTGTCTGAGAAGTAAATGTCCTAAATTCTTTTTAGAAGTGTTTTTTTCTTTAGATAAATTAATTTGTCAAAGCTACATAATTGATTTATTTAAGCTACACAATTAAATACCTTATACTAACCATTATATTTTTTAAATGTGGTAAAATGCACATTATATAAAATTTGCCATTTTAAGTGTACAGTTCAGTAGTGTTGAGTATATTTTCATGTTGTGCAGCAATGTCTAGAATTTTATATTACAAACCTGAAACTCTATACCTATTAAACGAGAATTCCCCATTTCCTCCTCCCCCTTGGCAATCACCATTCAACTCTGACTCTGTGAATTTGACTACTGTATGCAGCTCACACAGGTGGAACCATCCAGTGTCTGTCTTTGGTGACTGTGTTAGTTTCCTTAGCATAATTCCTTAAGGTTCATCCATGTTGTAGCTTTTGTTAGAATTGCCTTCTTTTTTTTAATGATTGAATAAAATTCCATTTTATGTACATAAGGTACCACATTTTGTCTTTATCTAGTAGTTGATATGTACATTGTTTTGACCTTTTCACTATGAGAATAATAGTATACTATGAGTGTATGAAAGTCTCTTTTAAGATTGCTATATATATATATATATATATATCTATATATCCTGAAGCTGAGTTGCTGAATGTTATATTCTATATTTCAGTTTGGATCATATGGTAGTTTCATTTTTAATTACTTCAGGAGCCACCATATTATTTTCCCTACTGGTTATATAATTTTACATTCTTACCACTAACAATTCTATTATATGATTATTATTTTATTATTTAATTTTTCTATGTTCCTTCATCTCAGATAGATTTTAAGCCTCTCAGTGTAGGAAACCAAATGTCTTCTTGATTTTTTATCGTAGTTAAGAGCCCACACTAAGGACAATTTGAGTTTTGTATCTAGAATATGTTTTAGGTATCATCTATGGCCAGAAAACTAAAGTGATGGATTCTTTTAATAGAATCAAGTAACTGTTCCCCAAATAAAACTGCTTCCTTAAGCAAGTTAATGAGCACAACTATTTCAAAGTGTTTCATTAGACACCCAAAATGTTAGAGAAACACTCACAGTGGACAGCACATATGAACTACAAGGTGTGCACGTACAGAGGACAGATAGCTACTAGCCGTCTTATCTAGCTAAAAAGTGATCAAAATCACCTACCAACTTTCACTGTCACCTCTAGGCCTAATGTGACCATAGAAACATAATAATTAAAGTTCCCGGGAGCAAACATCTGACATTTGATTATCTAAATACAATAATGTCATGCTCTCTTTGAAATACAGCTTACTTCTTTTTGAGTCAGGTTCACACTGTGCAGCCTAGGCTGGCCTCAAACTCACTGTGGAGCCCAGACTGGCCTCCAGTTTCCAATCCACAACCCTCCTGCCTCCGCCTTCCAAGTTGGAATTATAGGCATGGGTCAGCTCTGTTTCTGGGCTGAAATAGAGCCTTGAATTTGTGCACTTTCCACGTTGGAGTTAGAACTGTGGACTGTTAGAATCTCTCACCAGAGAAATGCATAAAATAATCTTCACACATGGAGTGATGAAGCTGCTCAAAGATCTTAAAAGCATTTGGGTGAAACGTCAATGATTTTACCTAACAAGAATAACACTGAGCAAAGAAAGGTGATGCTTCTTTTGGTGTTTTAGGTTGAATACAAAGCTGACTACAACAGCTGGATGAAAGGCTGTGGCTGGGTGCCTTTTGGGTCCCTAGAAATGGAAAAAGCGAAGCGAGCTTCAGACATCCTTAATGAGGTAAAGCTCTCAGTTTGTTGGAGAGCAGTTTGTGATAGTGTCTTTTAAAACTCAAAAACCATGGGCAGTTTCTCCTTTTCTGTTTCATTCCCTGGTCAGGGTTGCTGAACAAAAGCCACAAGCATGAGTTATCCAAGTAGAAGAGCATACTCCTTCATATCCTCTAGCTCATTTATGCTCACCATTCATAATAGAAATATTTTAGCAACTTTATTAAGGAATAATTTACATGCCATAAAATACCTATTTTAAGTGTATGGCTTCAGAGATTGTAATAAACTCATGTAATTGTACAGTCATCACTACAAATAAATTTTAAAATGTGACAATACTCCAAAATGTACCCCCACTCTCACCTTCAGGCCAATTGCTGATCTGTTTTCTATCTCTATAGGTTTATCTTTTTTAGAAATATCTTTTTAATCTGACTTCTTTTGCTTCTTACGTTATTTATGAGGTGATTTATGTTTTTTCCTGTGCCTTTTTTAAAAAGTTGAGTAATATTCCCTTGTGTGGATATACCACATATGGGTGACCTCATCAGTTGGTGAATGGGTGGGTTGTTTCCAATTTGGGGTGGTCATGAGTGATGGAGCTGTTACAGACATCTTTGAAGAACTCACCATCTGTTATATCTCTGATGATTCTGAGGTAATGTATAAATTACTAGGGAGTCTAAGAAAAGTGATGATGCTCTTGAGACTCTTAAAGCAGCAAGGTTGTCGTCCCTTTTCTGTCAGTTGCCAAACACTCATTGTTGCCAGGCAACTGCACCATCATGGAGGTGACTGCAGAAGCCACGCGGATGAATGAGGCTGCCTTTATTGTTCTTGCTGCATGGTTCTTTTAGTTTTGGTGAAAACAATTTTGCTACTTGTGAATGTGGTACAGAGACACCACAAATCTCCTTGCTCGCTTTCCTGTTCATCCTTTGGTGAATGTATGATGTTTCTGTACTTTGCTTCTCTGGCAGGACATTTTTCACGTGATCAGTAAGAAGCTGAGGCAGTATTTTCAGTCTGCCACCTGAGAGTGGTATTGGTCTGTACTCCCACATCATCCATAACTAAATAGAATATTTTAAACATTGACTTTGGCAATGGATTCATTTTTCATCCAACCCTATGCACACTCTAATATTTTTACATTTTAAAATCAGAAAAAAGTCTTCCTTATGTCTCCCAGACAAATTTCAAGGATTTCAATATTTTCCTTCACTGATGAGTAATATAATTTTTCTTTTTGATTCACCAAACAGAAAAAATATCGCCAGCATCCAGACACACTCAAGTTTACCTCAATTGAAGATGCTCCCATTACAGTACAGTCTAAAATCAACCAGGCCCAGAGAAGTGATGTAAGTGTTCTTCCTATCTGTACTTTAATACAAGCATATTTGTATTTCAAATTCACTGGTCTCCTGTGGCTATTGAGTGATCTAAAGAGCCTCCCTGACATGACCACCTGAATGTTTCTCCAGCTGTTCACTGAAGCACACCTCATTCATAACTTTTGGGTATTATCTATACTGCACTGGCTGTCCTTGCAGCCACCTGATAGTTCTTTCTAAAGAAAAAGTAAGACAGTCTTCTTTTAATGACAACTACAAACTACCTCTAAAAATATTCAGAAAGAATGAATATAGGCACTACATAAAATGGAGGAATTACATATTAAGTCAAAGCTGGGGCAAAAATCATATATAGTAAAACCATCCCCTTGTCTCTTTAACTACCCACAAAATATAACAGGTGTTTCACGTCTCCATCTATTAGGATTTCCTATGCTTGTGAAAGTGTCTGCAGATTAACATTTTTATGGGGTCACCTACAGGATAAGGTCTACCAGGTGCCTAAAAGGTCCAGAAGTTCTAGTGCACACCAAGGAAACTTTGCTAAGACTGAGCACTAATATAGGACCCTACACAACTGCATGCGTGACCCTGAGTCCCTACAGATGAATATGGGGATGATCTAGAGTGTCTTTTCTGAAACCACGGCTGTGTAGTAATGATCACATCTGAAGCTATTTTCCTGTACCATTACATGCTTCCTTCTCTTTTTTGTTTTTTAGATTGCTTACAAAGCCAAAGGAGAGGAAATTCTGCACAAATACAGCCTGCCAGCAGATCTGCCACAATTTATTCAGGCTAAAGTGAATGCTTATAATATCAGTGAGGTGTGTGTGGGCTCGGGTGATGTGTGTGCTCAGCCTCCACTAATGCAGCCTTGAACAATACTCAAATGATATTTTTCTTTCAGAGCATGTACAAAGCAGACTTGAAAGACTTAAGCAAGAAGGGGTATGATCTGAGAACTGATGCTATTCCCATCAAAGCTGCCAAGGCTGCCAGGCAGGCAGCCAGTGATGTAAGTCCAGCATGGTCTTCTGTGCAACTAGAAAATGCGGGTGGGCTTGGCATCTGACAGGTTACCGGTAGCCACTGCTTCTGCTGTCTCTGACTAGCAAAATCTGACTGAAAGCTATTCAGGAAAGAAAATTCCCTACATGGATCCAAATTTTCTTGGCAGAAAAGATCAGCATAACCATCTACTAATGAGTTCCCATCAAGGGTCCTAAGTTAGAATCCTTGTCTATACTCCTGTACAAATTCACACTACTCATGGAAACGAAGAAGCAATTTACCATTTACTTTGTAATAGTCTCTTGATGAGAAAATTTTATCTCTAAGCTTTTTGAGTTTGTATCATTTTCTTCTTTTCCCTTCATTACATCCAGAGACTAGTGGCTTGGCATTGAGCTTTATAGACTAGGAGTCATTAGTTTCCCCTGAAATGAAGATGTTTAAGAGGCTGAGAGCATAGCTCAATAGCAGAGCTCATGCTTAGCATGCCTGCAGTCCTGTGTTCAATCTACAGCATCAAAAACAACACAAAATTATTTCTCATCCACTTTCAGTTCAACCCAAAAACAAGTTTTTTGCTTCAAGATTAGACTAAAATTGGAGCAAGCCCTACCTGTTGTCCTATACAAAGCAGAAGCCCCTCCCCCATGGTTTTGTCAAACTCCGGGAGATTTTTATTTTGTGAGCCTCTCTGGCTCTTGGTTTTCATGAAATGCTTTTCCTTGAGCACACGTGGGGTCTTCCCTTGTGCACCTACTTCTCTTTCTGTGCTGCATGACCCAGAGATGGAATAGCTTTTTTTGTTTTTGTTTTAATTTCCTTGATCATTCCAAGCACATTACGATGGCTATGAGGTTAAAATTGCACCAACAAAAATACATTACAATTAAATAACAAGTGCCTCATCCTGAGCCTTCCCACCTGCATGCCTTCCTTTCTGGGAGTTTTCCTCTAGCCACCCCATGCTCCCACATACCACACATGCTCCTTCACACCCTTGCTTGCCCCCTCCAGGTCTCTCAAGGAAGCTCATTTCACCCTGCTTTGTGAGTCAGAACCAGTTAATGTTTATCTGTCCCTTTGGGATTTCCTTTCAATAATGAAAGGTTCTTTGGAATTCTCCTATTACTAACATTCTCTGACTAATCAATAACTGGCTACTTGGAGCTCCAGTAGCACAATGTAATCAATAGAGATTGTGAAATATTCATCTTTCTATTTTTCTTTCCCAGTGTTTCAGTTGAAAGAAGCAACATGGATACCTGTTTTGTCACAGATATGAATTAGGATAATGTTTCCACCCCAACCTCTTTTGGGAGGGCAATTGTAGCTATAGATGTTTATATGGGTTCTAAATAACAGCTTTATTTTATATCTCAAATCATAGCTGGTCTTTCACATCCTCAGATTCCCCATCCACAGACTTAACCAACTGTGAATCAAAAATATTTGAAAAAATTTTCACCTGTATTAAATATATGTAGACTTTTTTCTTGTCATTATTCCCTATATAATATGTAACTACTATAAAGCATTTACATTGTATTGCATAGCATAAATAATCTAGAGATGAGAAGATGTGTATAGGTTATATCCAAATACTCTGCTATTTTATATGAAGAACTTGAACATGCATGGACTTTTGTGGGTGGGCTGAGGGCCTGGCATTCCTGGAATCAGTGAGGTGTAAATACTGAGGGGTGACTGCAGATATTACTGAATAGCTGTTTGGTTATTAACATACAGTAATTTCTGGGGATCTCAGTTATTTCAGTCATGGACTTGTGGTTCAGTTAAAACTTCAAAATTACATTTTAAAATGTGTTCCCCTTTGTTTCCAATAGGTTCAGTACAAAAAAGATTATGAAAAAGCTAAAGGGAAGATGGTTGGATTCCAAAGTCTCCAAGATGACCCTAAACTGGTTCATTACATGAATGTGGCCAAGATACAGTCAGACCGGGAATATAAAAAGGACTATGAAAAGACAAAGACCAAGTACAACACGCCTCATGACATGTTCAATGTTGTGGCAGCCAAGAAGGCGCAGGACGTGATCAGCAACGTCAACTACAAGCATTCCCTGCACCATTACACTTACCTGCCCGACGCCATGGACCTCGAGCTCTCCAAAAACATGATGCACATCCAGAGTGATGTAAGTGACCGCACCCCACCTCAGCACCCACCGTTGCTGTCCAGCGGCTGCCTAGCTCTCACTCCCCTCTCTGCCTTGCCTAGAACACCTACAAAGAAGACTACAACACCTGGATGAAGGGCATTGGCTGGATACCCATTGGCAGCCTTGACGTAGAGAAAGTCAAAAAGGCAGGCGATGCCCTCAACGAGAAGAAGTACAGACAACACCCAGACACGCTCAAGTTTACCAGCATCGTGGACTCCCCGGTTATGGTCCAGGCAAAGCAGAACACACAGCAAGTCAGCGATGTGAGTAAACCAAGAGGGGGCAGAGGGAGCGAAGGGAAGATTTAGAGCATGTAAGGAGGTCAGCTCAACATTTTTGGTTCTTCTGAGCCAATCTCTTTTCCATTTAAATGTGATATATTTAGTTTAAAAATAAAATTACTATTAATTTGTTTGCACACATGTTCTTCCTTTAAAAACATTTTTTACTTTAAAAAATACATTTTGCTTTTTAACCACTTTTATTTTTGAGATAGGTTAGGCTGGGATTGAACTCATTTTGTAAGCCAGATAGGCCTGGATCTCACAGTTATCCTCCTGCCTCAGCCCAAGGGCTGAGATTAAAGGCATGTGCTATGATGACTGGCTTTTAACCACCTTTAAAGGACTGTGCTATTGTGCAGGCTTAACTTGGCCAAGAGGGCTAATGCTAATCACACTTACACAGAATTTAAGTTTGTGTCACAGACACTTTATTATGAGGCTCTTTGTGTTTAATTCTATGTTGATTTGTTTACATTTGCTTTTTTATATGAAACATCAATACAGAAGAATATATATACATAAGTACACATGTTTTTGTACACATATATTATAATACATATATGTTATATACACATAAATGTTTTTGCTCCTTAGAATTCAGCATACACTGTGACATTTTGATGTTTTTCAGTGACAGTCAGTATTGTTTGCCTGCCTAAATATGAGCAGTATAAGGGCCAGCGAGATAGCTCAGCAGACAAAGCGACTATTTAGGCAAGCACAAGGACCAGGGGTCTATCCCTAGTCCTGCATACGCCACTGGCCTTGCCCCTGGGGCGTGCTGAGCTGGTGACAGAGTCTGGGTGTGGTGGCACATGCCTGTAATCTCAGCACTGGGGAGGCTGAAAACAGGAGGATCACCATGAGTCCAATCTACATAGTGAGACTCTGTACCAAAATACACAAATGAAAAAAATAAAATGAAATAAATATGATGCTATGTCCAAAGCCAAAATTTTTGTCTTTCACATGTCTTTTTAATTTGCATAATTTTTTTTAATTTGCATAAATTCTATCTGCTAAACATTTCCTTCTGAAAGGAAAGTTTGCTATGGAGAAGAGCCACAAGGACATCAAACGCGTGCATGCATTAATTCACTTAGGCCCATGTGCCAGGCACCACGTAATGTGTGCTGATGACACAGGACAAAATAATGGAGGATTACTGGGACACAGGAATTAACAAGAGTACAGGACAAGAGTATAGGACAGAGGGGGCACAGCAACAGAGCAGGGCCATACAGAAGGGCAGCTGCTGCAGGCGGGAGGAGCACCAGGGAAGTGGGTAACCGCCTGGCGGAGGTCGCTAGCAAATAAGGACAGGCATATTTCTGGCCAAAGGAACACCATAAACACAGGAAAGAAGGAATGAACGGAAGGAAGTGAAGAGTTCAGGACTGTGACCCAGTCATCAAAGATCTCATGTGCTATTATAGGGTCTGGATATGGGATTGGTAAGAGGAATGTCAGAGATTTTTAATCCACAGAGGCACGTTATAAGTTCTGAGTTTTAAAAGATAACACTGGCAGGAAAGTGTGCAGACTATATGGGAGAACTGAGAGATTGGGGGCAAGAAGTTGAATCAGAGGGGTATAAACTGAAATGAATAGTAAGACTTCATTGAAGTTAAGGCAGGAGTAAGGGAAAGAAGGGTGTGTTGAGAAGATACAACTCATGAGATTTTCTTTGAATGTTTAGACATTATTCCTTAAAGCACCAATGGGCCAAGAAGATACCTCAGCAATCTAAGCACCTACTTGGCAAGTGCAAGGACTCATGTTCAATCCCCAGCACCATATTCCATGCTGGTCCCATGCTGAGCTGGCCACCAAAACTGGGCATGGTGACACACATCTGTAATCCCAGCTGAGGAGGCTGAGACAGGAGGATCAGTATGAGTCTGAGCTGTGTAATGAGACACTGTGCCAAATAAATAAGTAAATAAATAAATCGCTGAGGAGTTAAAGATAATTCTTGGACTTCTAGGAAAAGTGACTTCATATTTGGGAATTTATTTAGATACTAACAATTTTACATTTTGCTTGTATATATACACAGATATAGGTATTCTATACCACATAGTCATCTTTAGGAAATGAAAGTATATATTCTAAAAGATAATTAAAGACTGAAAATCTACTTGTGATTCTGGATCTTAGCTTTGGTAATGAAACTGTTCATTTTCTCTTAAGACGATACACTAACATTCATACTTCACATCCAATAAGGTTTCACATTGCACAGTGTCTTTCAGTGAAAAGTATATGTAATTCTTTAAAATGACAAAATAAGGTAAATATTGGGTCAAGCATGTTGGCACATGCCTGTAATCCCAGGGCTCAGAAGGCTTAGACAGGAAGATTGTTGTAAATTCAAGACTAGCCTGCACTATGTAGTGAGATCGGTTCAAAGAATAAATAATAAAATAAAAATAAGGTAAATATAAAAAGGTAAACTTAGTAAGGATGCTGAATTCAGGTATAAGTACCTTCCTATTAAGAGGAAATGATCATATGGCTTTATTGACACAATTATAATTTGAACATTTTTAAAATAAAAATTAAGATTCATTCTAACTACTATTTTCATTCTGTAGGGATGAAAAGCCAAAAATGAAATAATAAGAGATAAACTTCAATACTTTAAGAACTGTTCCTTTCTCTGGCAGAGAATAAACTTGTCTGGCTTGGAGAACCCTGTTACTCACTTTATTCATGTTAATTTATTTTCCCTGAGCTTCCAGCAGCCAAGGATTTCCATTTTGTTAAGGGTTTTTCCTTCCAATTTTAATATGCAATTGTTGGGACTTCCTAAAATATGCTATTTATTTATTTATTTATTTATTTATTTATTTATTTATTTATGTTGAACCCAGGACCTTTCTCCTAAACTATATGCCTAGCCCCTCTCCCCATTTAAAAATTGTTTTGAGACAGAATCTTGCAAATTTGTTAAATTGCCTAAGCTGGGATTGAATTTCCTCCTTGGATGATTTTTAATAGAAACAGATGAGGGATTATGCTAAGAATAACTCCTTCAAACATGTAATTGATTGATTTCACCTTTTACACAATGTATAATGATTTTATTTTTGTGCCAATGTGTTGCAGATCTTATATAAAGCTAAAGGAGAAGATGTGAAGCATAAATATACAATTAGTCCTGATCTTCCACAGTTTCTCCAGGCCAAGTGCAACGCTTACAATATAAGTGATGTAAGTAGGGTCTTTGATGAGGTGTAAATTCCAAACCCGGAAAGAAAATGGTAACATTTTAGAGAAGGTCAGTGCCTCGTACATAGCACAGTTTTCCACAGAGCCTCGGTGGAGGCGTAACGCAGGATGATGATTTCTTTAACTCTTGAGTTGGCCCTTTCTAAGGTACAGGATGTAACCTTCCTTGGGTGGAGTCCATCTGTTCTCCTAAAACTTCTGCTTAGTTTTCATGTGGAGGAGGCTATTACTCTCCAGGAAAATGGGGGGGGGGAGGCATCCCTTATTATTTTATAGTAATCCTAAAATTCCTGAAGTGGATCAGTAGATCTTCTCTTGAGCTTCGTTTCCTAAGCCTGAACAGCTTTGCTTTTCTCTCGATCCTCCCGTACTAGTGTTTCTAGGACCTTTATGTCTCTCCTCTGGATCCCTTCCCATTTTTCAGTTCCTCTTCCATAATGTGCCAAAACCAGATTTGAGATAACAATTAGTGCGGGGCCTGCCTAGCAATTTCTTGTTAGACACAATATGTGACACGATGTATGACATAGGGTATGTGGGGTGGAGGATACTTTTAGATTCCATCTGAAAAAGAATAAAACAATCCCAGCAACCAGCAGCAGAGAAATTGCTTTAGCTGAATGAATACACAACATGCCGACATCCTTTTTGGTTTTCCACCCCAGGTCTGTTACAAACGGGACTGGCATGATTTAATAGCCAAGGGCAACAATGTCCTGGCTGATGCTATTCCCATCACTGCAGCCAAATCATCAAGAAACATTGCCAGCGACGTGAGTAAAAATTTTAAGGGAGATTGGAGTGATTGCCTATTTAAAAAGTAATCAAATGTGTACTTGTTTAAATGGATACCTTATTGAAAACAGTATGTTGACTTAATGACATTCACATTCTGTACATAACATTGTTTTGAGAACCTGTCACTTTTTCAACGTTTTTGGGATTCTCTTCAGTTGACCCCACTTGGTAGAGCTGTCATAATCCTGACAATGGCTTTCCCCCTGATGCATAGCCTCAATTACCCTCGTTGACACATTTCCCTGACAGCCTGTATTTATTTTCAGTGGGAACACCTGGGGTGACACTACCATATTAAATTTAGATGACTGCTTGCATTATAATTGTATTAAAAAGATTGAACAGATGTTATAGAAATATACATATTTTTATACCAACTGAGAAAAGACCAGTTTTTTAGGATACAATTTTGATTGAAGTAAGTGAATGCCTATTTTATCTGTAATTACCAAGAAAGCATGTGGTTATACTTCTTCCCATCTTTGGGAAACACAATTTTCAGAAAGCACACACAGCCTGCAGGGTCCGCTGTCACACACTACTCCAGGGATGACAGCCTTCAGTGAAAAAAGAGAAGGAAGAAGGCAACCCTGTGTGCAGCCCACAGAAGGGACAGGGGAATAAGAACTCAGCAGCTGTATCATAGGGATGGTGCTACAAATGTTTCTTAGAGCTTTGGACACATGCATGTCACCACAAAATACATTTCTACTTTAAGTAAAAGGCGAAGGTTTGAAATATAACTTTTTCCTTCTTGGCTATTTTTTAGCAATTGCACAGTACTTCTCTAACATACTTACTATTATGTTGTTGATAATCCTTTCACTTGCTAAATCCTTGTTTATGAACCATACATGTAGTGTAAGATGAGCTCAGTGTCTGCACACTTTAGATGGATTTGAATTTGCTTGGATAAAAATTGAGGGCTTGACCTATTATAGATTAGCTCAATCTATTTCCCATTGCTGATCCCAGCAGTGGGAGACCTTGAACAGATTAGGGTTTTTTAAAATTAGGTTTTACTCATGAGAAAACCCCAGTACTTTCCTGTGTAGCTCCTTAATTGATTTATAGCTACTAAAGCTGTGAGCATGGAGAGAAGCTGCTGGTAATCGGGTTCCGTGAAGGCCCAGCCACCAGCAGAGTGGGTACTCCTATCCATTATGTGAATCACATCACGGACTAGAAAGTCCCATCCCTGTAAAACCAAGATGTATTGGGTAGGAATCATGTTCATAGTAAATGTAAAAGCTCATTTGGTTTAAATGTCACTTCTACATGAAAACCACCTGTAGGAGTCAAGGCAAAGAAAAAACTGGTCTTGAACTTATAAGGACATTCTTTTGAAAAGCAAACCATGCCACTAGCTGAGTGTGAAATAAATGTTTGAACTCAGAGCTTTCTGGAATGAGGTGTCCTTTACATTTCTGAGTGTAACACTGTCCTGAATGCCTAAGACTTTGCTAACCAAATTTTGTCTCTGCAGTATAAATACAAAGAAGCATACGAGAAGGCCAAGGGAAAGCATGTGGGATTTAGAAGCCTGCAGGATGATCCCAAGCTGGTCCATTACATGAATGTGGCAAAGCTACAGTCTGATCGTGAATACAAGAAGAACTATGAGAACACGAAAACCAGCTACCATACCCCTGGTGACATGGTTAGCATTACAGCTGCAAAGATGGCCCAGGACGTAGCCACCAACGTCAACTACAAACAACCAATACATCACTACACGTACTTACCTGATGCCATGAGTCTTGAGCACACGAGGAATGTGAATCAGATCCAGAGCGATGTAAGTGTGCCAAATGTAGCAGACTCAGAAAGCCTGGGGGAAAAAATTAAAATTAAAAAAAAAGGCTTGGGTGAATAGTTTCTCTGTTTTATTAGGCTTCAGGATGCACTAAGATATTTGGAAAATGCACTTTAGAATCAGCACTCTTTGTTGAAAAACTACCAAAGGCTGGATAGACAAACTCTGATATTTTTTCTAGTCTTCTGTACTTCTATTGCAATCATTGATGTCTTTATTGTCATGGATGAAAGATAAAAACAGTGCAACTACCTGTGTGAGAAGCCACCTTGCTTCTCAGCTGCAGATGTGCCAAGGGGCTGCTTCAGTGGTGACACTTGTATAATACAAAATAAAAGAATCTTGGAAGCTTTAGGAAGGCAAGAAAGGTCTTTTCCATTAAGGTCACCCTGTTATCCAGGTACATCTATGTAATAAGTCATCTAAAATGAACTAGGCAGGCTTTGTGCTTGCAGCATGATTCGTGGAGCGCTGAGTGGAGAAGTGTTAATATTCAAAGTGTTTCTTTCTGTAGGAACAAGATTTCTATAAGAATTGCCCTCTGTAAAGAGGAGAAATGTTATTCATTTATTAATACTCAAAGATAATCTTTGTACCCAGCTGAAATCTAGAATAGCCTAGGTGGACAGTGTAGTGTAGGCGAAACTTGGACGTTTTGGAGTCTACAGTGAAATCAAAAGGAAAGCTCAATTTATTATGAAAAGAGACAATTTTTTAAACAGTACCCATGGAAATACATGACCTAGATTCTTTCCTGTGCTGTGCAATGCATTCTAACAACAGAACTATTCTCTCTTATGTCAGGATCCAGGTAATAAGCTCTGTGACAGGCATAGCTAGACATGAGCTTATTGAAAAGAATTGCTGCTCGTTTCCCTTGGATAGAACTGCAAATTCCAGAAACATCCCTTGAATGTTTCCTAGGATACTTCCTCATATGGGCTTACTCTTTTACAGAATGTGTATAAAGATGAGTACAACAACTTCTTCAAAGGCATTGGGTGGATCCCGATTGGCTCTCTGGAGGTTGAGAAGGCCAAGAAGGCAGGCGATGCATTAAATGAGAGGAAGTATCGACAGCACCCTGATACTATCAAGTTCACAAGTGTGCCTGACTCCATGGGCATGGTTTTGGCACAGCAGAACACAAAGCAAATAAGTGATGTAAGTGATTTCCCTTCTAAAGCGTTTGTTCCTTAATAGCCCCCTGCATTTGAGTCACTGCTCTGTCTTTCTTAATTCAATACACAAGGATGCATCTATGTTAGCAAATAAGCTGCTTTCAGAGACAGGTTTTACTCTTGATGCAGCTTGGACCTTGAACATGGGGAAAACAGGTGTAGGGGAAGAGGTATGTTCCAAATTGGTTCTATTTTCTTTTTCTTTTTTTTTTTTTTT